AAAAATAAAATAAAATTTTATTTTAAATGTTTTTATGTATATGTTCTATGAATATAATTTCAGAGTAATGAATACTAAGAATAACAAGAAGTCATATATAAAAGAATGATAGATTTTAGAAAATGAAATTAAAAACATATTCAGCGTTCTTCAAAACATAACTTCAATTTTATTTGTTTAAAATATTCCCACAGTTATACTTGCTTTTCAAAACTGTTGGCTACTTTTGTTCATCTTCTCCTCTTTAGATTAATTTGAAAATAAGCTTATCAAATTCTACTAAACAATTATGTAGAACTTTTGAGATTACATAAATTTATACATTAACTGGAGCATAATTAACCTGGTTACACTAAAATTACTCCATTTGAAGTGTAAACTATCTATCCATTTATCTATTTAAATGCATATATTTCTTCTTATAGGTCTTGCAATTTTTTATTCAGCAGGAGTTTGTCCCCAAGTATCTCATAGGTTGTTTGATGTTTTGGTTGCTGTTGTTATTATGGTTTCCAGCTGGCTATTTTTGGTTAAAGAAAAATATAATTTACTGTTAATGTTGTTCTTGATATAGCAATATTAGAAAATCATTGATTGGATCAAAATTTTTTTTAGTTTATTCTATTTGATGGTTTAGGGAAATAATCATATTAGCTATCTACTATATACTTGTGTCTCTATTACCAATTTTTATAATAAATGTTTATAATAAATTTTTTGCAAACATATTAGATTGGCAAGAACTTCCAAGTAAAAGTTAAATAGTAGTTATTTAAAGGTAGCAGACACAGTTGCCATACTGATGTTTAATATTGGTAATTATAATTATATGTCTTTTGCAATAAGACTCCAGAAGATAACATTTAGTTTGTTAAGGCAGGTTTTTTCTTGCTTGCTAAGAAATATTTTAATGAAGAAATAGTAAATTAATACATTTTATCAATTATTTTACATGTCAAGATAATCCTAGGTTTTTCCTCATTAAATCCATTATTGTAATAAATTAAAATAATAGCATGTTGAACAATTCTTAATTTATTCAGACAAATCTTATGTAGTCACATTAGACTATTCATTTAATACACAGCTGGGTGATGATAATAATGATGAAATACTTTTAAAATTGTTCTAGAGGCCGTTAGTACAACTTATTTTATCTGTTATTGAGTATGTACTCTGGGAATGATTTATTTTCACAGAACTTTTTCCTTATATTTTTATTATCTTCGTTTTTCTCTGGTTTTTATTATTTTGTTTTTGTTTATTGGTTTATTAAAACTTTTTTTCCTAAAACTTGATAAGTATTTTATATGTTCCTAGACTGCCTTAAAATTTCTAGCATGGGGGCAGAAAACTTTTACTCTTCAAAAAATATCTTATACTGGGCCTCCCTGGCGGCGCAAGGGGTTAAGACACAACCTATAAAACTATCTGCAGCCACTACAGCAAGAGTTCGATCCCTGGCCAGGGAGTTACCCATATGGCGCAGCAGATCTTTCCTGACTCACCCACTTGCTCCCCTCAGCAGTGTATTTCAGTCAATCTGCCTGTTCTATTCCTCACTCTGTTCTGGTGAATCCTCTCACCTCCTGCACCTCTGGCCTGTACTCCAGTTCTTGTACGCATAAATAAAATAAATCATTAAAAAAACAAAAAACAAAAATATCTTATACTGTTATATTTCACCAAAATATATAATTCTTATCATTTTAACTAATTTAAGTCTGAAGAGGAGGCACATGAATATTCTGTTAACCCTTTGAGCCACTATCTGCCATGGTTTCTTATTTCATTAGCCCTGATTTTATTATGCACAATAGAATTGCATGGTATTGTTCAAATAACTATTAAATAATTCTAGTAACCCTATTCCTATAAAATAGCATATATTTTGCTTATTATTATGAAATACATTTGCTTTTAGTATAAGCTATAACTCACTTTCGGATATTTACCATAAAGTTGAAATTCAAAGTATTAAATTTCAAACTTATAACCAACTGTCTTATTAAATTACACTGTTAATTATTTCATTCATTCAACAAATAACAGTAGCTATCTGTTATGTACTATTACTCTCTGAGTCCTAGAGTTTAGGGAATGAACCAAAAAATGTAAAAGAAATCATGTGTTCTGGAGCATTCTATTTTCAGTTTATTTCATTTCACGTTTCACATATTTCATTTCATTTCACAATTTTATTATCTACAAATGACACATATTTTTGTCTTATCATTTTATAGTGTTATTCTCTTTACCATCTCAAATTTTATTGATCAATATATGACAAGATACTGATCTAAATATATCTGATAAAGGAAATCCCTGTAAAACATTTAATATCTTAAAATATTATGCTGACTACCTGTTTAAAATAGATAAATGAAAAGAAGGAAATATAGGCCATATTTTAAAGAACAGCACTCCAAAAGGTAAGAATTATATTTAACCAAAGGTAAGAATTGTGCTTTAACCAAATTGTATCTTAAATATTGTTAATTTTTTAATATCTATTACCTTATTTTAATGACATTAACAGCTACAGTTGATTAGAATTAAATAATTCCCTGATAAATTCCTCTCTAGTTTAACAAGCTTACACAGAGATTTTGATCTCAAAGTGGAAACACTCATTCTCCTCCCTCCTTGCAACCTCTTACTGGACTTTGCCTCTGGACAAATTCAACCGGATGCCCCAGAAGTCTGTAATGTATATGTGGATGGTCATTCCCCAAAGCAGAGGAGAATGGAGAGTAGATCTAAAGACAATATCTGACCAGCTCTTCAGTTGCAACTTCTCTCTTCCTCCTCCTATTACATTTTCCTCTAGTTTGTTTTCTGAATATGCTTATTCATTTCGAAATGAACTTGTGTATTATCTGTTACATTTGCTTAACTCACTAGACATCTCCATCAGAACAGCAGCCCTCCCTCGCAGGTTCACCACTGAAGCACATAGAATGATGTTTGCTACAAACAGGTCCTTAGTGAATCCCTCGGCTTGTTCAAAAATTCTCTCTCCTGTGCTCTCAGGGCACGCTGTATATCATTATGTATTTCATTACTCTAGGGATAATCACAAAGCATCATAGTTATTGATTTGCATATTTTACCCCAGACTATAACATAAGTTCTGTAACTTTTAGTGATTATACCATGCTGGGCCCCGTGCTCTATGCTCTATAGACTTCACATATGTTTATAATGTAAATATTGTTTTCATTTTACATACCAAGATAGACAGCTTATTAATATAAAAATTTGACATAACTCTTTGTGGCAGCTACATTTTGTCTCTGGTCTTTATAAATGATTAAATGTCATCTCAAAAGATGAGTGAATGAATAAAACAAAATGGGGTTAATGATTTGCCAATACAGAACTAATGAATTTTATTTTCCTTCCTTAAAGTCATGTTCTCGTTTAACCTTTCACTCAAGGCCAAACCTCATGACTTATTGTCTGAGAAAGAGGAGGTGGGTACTGTCACCAACAAGGAGGCCATTGATTAACTTTCAGCCTCAGAGCTGACTTTCTCCACCTCTTTAGCAAGAAATTTTAGAGAACGCTTGGAAATGAAGTTGCATACTATTATAAATGAGCCAGTTATTGTTTTTGCCTCTGAATCAATTAGATTGCATAAGTTGGGTTAAAAGAGGTTAATATTTGTGATTCTAGTTGTCCCAAGCAATTGACAGAATTTGCATTTTGAGCTTTGTTTTGTTACCCACCAACCCCCAACAGTGGCAGTGACTTTACACGGCTCCATTCACATCCTATCTCTTATAATTTTTGTAAACAAAGGTTTCAATTTTAAAATTAATGACCTAGAATTCTGGATAAAATTCTGGCTGGGGAAAAAAAGACAGTAAAGAAAGAATCCCTCAGAAGAACAAAGCTTTGATATTACTGGAATTGAGAAACAAATTAGACAATAGTCATATATTCTGAAATACTGGTGTCCATTTAGAGAAAATTAGCTGACATAGGGAAAAGATTATTGGGGTCTTTATAACAAATATAACACTAGAGGAGAGAAGATTAGCCTTGCTAGTCTACACTGACTTATATGCACTTGTATATACACTTGCCACTCACACAGCACAAGCAAGTTTTGACAATGTGACAACACCCCAGCATCAGAGTTGTGATCTCCGAGAGGAAGACAAGGTCATGGAGTCTAATGAGAGATGCCCTGTCCACCTTACAGAGGCAGATCACTGAAAAGTTCTCCATGCTCCGTGAAACAGTAACCACAGTGGCCCTATTGGCGAGCACAAAGGCAATATCCCTTGGGAACTCCCCCCCTCACCCGCCCACCCCGGAAATGTAGTTAGGAAAGAAGTGGATTAACAACAAATAAATTTTAAATTATTTCTATAGGCAACTTGATTTACTTATTAGCTGGTAAGTAATGTGGAAATTCGAATTAGACAACAAGTAGCTCTCCCTCTTCTCAAAATCAGGCTATCATGAGAAACGATTCTCTCTGAGATCTGCAGAGTTATTATTGTTAACATCATGGAACATATGAATCTTCTGCAAAAAGTGCCTAAGTACAAGTGTGAAAGAAAAATCTAGGACAGCACAAGAACACAGCAACTCTGTCCTTCAATCACTTTACTTAATCAGGAAGAGAATATGACTCACCTTCAAATGTATGTGTATGCATTTAAAACCAATTTTGGGGGGCCTCCCTGGTGGTGCAAGGGGTTAAGATGCTACCTATGAAGCTATCCGGCGCCTCTGCAGCGTGAGTTCCATCCCCCGCCAGGAAGCTACCCACATGGCACAGCAGACCTCTCCTGACTCACCCACTGCTCCCCTCAGCAGCATATTTCAGTCAGTCTGCCTGTTCTGCTCCCCACTCTCTGTCTCTGGTGAATCCTCTCACCCCCTGGATCTCTGGCCTGTATGCATAAATCCCCAGCTCTTGTATGCATAAATAAATAAATATTTAAAAAAATAAAATAAAATAAAACCCATGTAGTTATATCAAGTGCATTCTAGTTTATTTGGAGGCAGTAGTTTAAATGGTGTAGACAATTTTAGTGGTTTTTTTTTTCTTCTTGGCCTTCATCTTGAGTAGTGGCCTTCCTCATTATGAATTGTCTCAGTGGCATACAGCATTAAGTCTCTCTTATTCTCCCCCACATAATCGGAACTGAGATGGAGATCTGTAATAAATAAATCTCTCTTTTCACCACTCCAGGAGAGCCAAGGGAGGAACACATGATCTGAGCTCCTTCTCTTCTGGGATTTTTAATCCTGAGTAGAGTGCCATAAGGACAGAAAAAAAAAAAATACATATGATTTTGCTTATGTATTTCAGCAATGACACATGAATGAGACTTTAAAGCTCTTCGTGCCTCAAAATAACCTGGATGTACTTGGTGTCTGTACTCTCCACACTTAGTTTTTTCAGCCTACTCTTCAAGCTTATGGGTTTTCTTTGTTCTAAAGTTAGTTTCTGTGACTTGTAATTAGATATCTTGAGATATATATATATATATGATATATATATGATATTTATATATATCATATATCTATAGTTGTGCAAGAAGTGAGGTGCAAGTATAAACTACTGTGGTTTGTGTTTGTGTCCCCCAAATTCAAATTCATGTTAAAATCCCAGCCCTCAAGGTAATGGAATTAGGAAGTGGCCTTATAAGAGTAAAGTCCTCATAAATGGGACTAGTGCTTATAAAAGAGGCCCAGATGAGCTCCCTGACCTTCCACCTGTGGAGACTGAGTGAGGTGTCAGAAGTATGCAGCCTGCAAGATGGTCCTCACCAGCACCCCATGGTACTTGCACCCTGAAATTGAACTCTCAGCTTCCTACTGTGAGAAATAAATATGTATTTTTTATAAACCACCAAGTCTGTGGAATTTTATTATTGCAGCCTCAAACAGACTAAGAGAGAACCCATCAGAAAATATATGGGGTATTTGAAACTGATTAAATTGCTGAGTTAGAATTAAGAACAGCAAAATTCCCATTCATATCCCTGTAATGGAACCTACAAATTCACTCTACCAGGTTAAGTGGCAAAACAATTAATTAAGTGCTTGCCTGCTGTGGTCACTTAGAACCATTTGCCCATTAAGAGCAAGACTCTGGGCAGCCAGGTAACAGTCGTTTTGAAACAATGTAAGTAGCATAAAGAATTTCTCTTTTATTGTTTTCACAGCACTTACCACTAAATGAAATTTCCCTTTTTTGGTTAGAATTACTATTATTGGCTTTTCCTGATCAGAATACAAACTTCTCAAGGCCAGACACGGGTTATTTTGTCACCCTTCTCTTTTGAGTTCCTGGTATATGGCTGGTATGAAAAAATATATAGGGAAGGAATAAATTAATTCCAGAACATGAAATAATATGTGTGGTTCTGACAATATGCTCATCATTAAGCCATTGTCACTCAGCTAAAAACTGACCCTTTTATACTTGGATCTGGGACTCTGCAAATCACATTTCTTTTTTGTCAGCTGAATCACTGTTAGTTCTTCCAATGGGGAGGACGAGTGGACACAAGAGAGCTGGAAATGGAAAAAGAAAGACATTTGTTCTCCATTCATATCATCACCACACAGCAGTGGTTCTTCACTGCTACACTGAGTGTTCTGAGCAGCAGCAATGAGAGAGAGTTTGCAGATTTCCTACACCTCATGGCATTTCTCTCAGAAATGCCATCACCCTTTCCTTCCTAATTACATTACCCTCTGAGGAGGGTCTCTTCCTCAGAGGTCAGAGTTCCAGCATCACAGGAGGATGGACAAAAAGGGATAAAAGTTCAGTTCTTGTTTTGTGAGATTCCAATATGCATGCATCTTAGTTAAATTGCAGAACTATAGCCTAACAAACAGACAGCAGATGGAAGCCAACACAATATGGTCTAGGCCTGTGGCACCATTCTCTCATTGAGCCAATGACCATCCATTGGGCTCTTGGAATGATGGAGAGAATGTATCCACTCTAAGGAAGACTAAATTAACAGAGCTTGCTAGATGAGTTGGAATTTGATCACCTAGATTTTTCAACTAGGTTTCTTTCCTCCTCATGTACAAAAGAGTTCTCCTCTTTTTTCTCTGTTTTATCCTTCACTGACCCTTTTCTTCTCTTGTGCCCACTATTTCCAAACAACCCCAGTTCCTGGGAATTCAGATCAGATAACCAATATTGTCAACTAGTTCTCAGTGTGAGGTCGATAGTCATAAGGGGAAAACAGGTAGATTTACCATCATCTCACAAGTTTGGGGAAACTTAACTTGCCCAGGGTCCTTAACTTTGGAAGGGGAGGGCCCTAGCAAAATATCACTATTTTTAAAAAATTTATAAATAGATGTTATTTTAGCTTCTTTTTCTTTAATAAAAAAAATTTGTTTTTTTATTTTTTTTTCTCCACCACCATCCCTTGTGCTTTGTTGATCTTTTTTTTCCCTTCCTCTCTCTCAAGCGCAGAAATCTCATTTTATTAATGACCAATAGTTTTTATTAAGTATTTTTGTCAAATCATCTGCTATATAAATGTCCAAAACTTCTTGTCATTCTGATGTACTTTTTTTCACACAATTCCCTTGAACACCTTCCATTTTGCTGGAAAGGGAAATATTTCATCTTTCCTGTTGCTGAATAGTATTCCATAGTGTAGAAATACCACATCTTATTGATCTGATCTTCTATTGATGGGCATTTATGTTGCTTCAATACGCAAAGCTATTATAAAAGCTCTATTATATAGAGCATTTTTTTGACTTGACGGTTACATATTCTTTGGATAAATACCCAAGAGTAGGATTGATGAGTCAGATTCTATTTCCATTCTTAGTTTTTTAAGGTAAATCCAGATTGCTTGCTAAAATGGCTGCACCAATGTATATCCCCCCCTAACTGTGTGTCAGGGTTCCTCTTTCTTCACATCCTAGCCAGAACTTATTACTTTCTTTTTTTTTTTTTTAATAATGTGCCTTTCTCGGAGGTATATGATGATATCCCATGTGGTTTTAATATGCATCTCCCTTTTAAAAGCAAGAATGAATATTTTTCCATGTATTTTCTTTGATGAACTGTCTGCTCAGATCTGCCATCTTCTTTGTCTTAGAGGTTTCCCATATTGTACAAGCTTCAAGCCCCATCCTACTTGGACCTGCCTCTGAAAAAGAGGCAAATGGTTATTTAAAACATGTAACAGTAGAAATTCAATGGAACCATGAATGGTAACAATTCATATCTGTGTCAAGAATCCCTGTTAGCCCAAGATATTATTTCATAATTATTGCCCCAGTGTGCTTCTCAGACTCAGAATTTATCACAGATTTTTCATTTTTAATAAAGTATAGAGCATTTTTTTTTAAATTGCAGTAAACTAAATCAGAAAATGTTTAGAATATCTGCTCATCTATTGCTATGAGGAACATATCATGAAATAAGTTGATATTTTCCTGTAGCTCATGGGTATTTCTGTCCGGTGACCAGAAATAATTTGCATCTCTTCCCCCAGGATGTTTTAGAGTTGACATTGATAACTCCTCCCTTTTAAGTACAGCATGAAGGCTTCTCTGATAAAAACAATTAACTTGGGCCTCCCTGGTGGCACAAAGGGTTAAGGTGCAACCTATGAAGCTATCTGCAGCCACGGTAGCATGAGTTAGATCCCCAGGCAGCCAGGGAGCTACCCACATGGTGCAGCAGACCTCTCCTGACACACCTGCTGCTCCCCTCAGCAGTGTGTTTTAGTTGATTTGCCTGTTCTGCTCTCCACTCTGTCTCTGGTCAATCCTCTCAACCCCCGCACCTCTGGCCTGAACCCCAGTTCTTGCATATATAAATTAATAAATCTTAAAAAAAACAACAATTAGCTTGGACATGAGAAGCTATGAATATCTAACTACAAGTGGGAGTGGAAAGAAACAGGCAACAATGCAGCTATAACTTACCCAGTCCTGGGAGTGCTGGTCATGTACCATACCCCCTGCTAGGACCTGCAGAAGCACAAAACCACCAGGGTTGACTTGAAGTCAGAGGAATAACATGCACCATTTTTGTTATTTCATTTGCTAAGTACAAATGAAATGAAATTGAAAGATTCTATGATGCTGTAGCATCTAAAATTTTGCAAAATAATAGATCAAAATCATAAAGCATGAATCATAGACAAAGACAACACCGATGAGTTTTAGCTTATAAAATACTAATTTAAGATGGTCTCTGAAATTAGGTGAAGTAGAGTACCTTTGATAATATTTCGACTGAATACATACACATCACATTGAAAAAATCCTGGCAAATACATATTATTCTACTCAATTTAAAATTCATATAATCGACATACATAGTTTATAATGCATACAAATATGTTGTTTTAAAGTTTTACAAATAATTATATGTGTTTCTGAAAAGAACTATAGGGCCTCCCTGGTGGCGCAAGGGGTTAAGCACCGCACTGTGAAGCAATCCACAGCCTCTGCAGCACAAGTTAAATCCCTGGCCGGCCAGGGAGCAACCCATATGGTGAGGCAGACCTCTCCTGGCTTGCCAGCTGCTCCCCTCAGCACTGTATTTCAGTCAGTCTGCCTGTTTTGTTTCCCACTCTGTCTCTGGTGAATCTTCTCACCCCCCACATCTCTGGCCTGTACCCCAGCTCTTGCATGCATAAATAAATAAATCTTTAAAAAAAAAAGAACTATAAGGCCAACAATATAATAAAATGAATTTATCAAAAGTACACAAAAAATTAGTAAGTTTAATTTTTTGGTGTTCCTTTTATCTGTAAAAAAGCATCCTGGTTTGTATTTTGATGATAACCAGACCTCTTGGAAAACAGGCAGGAGATACTTCAGGAGATGCCTAACCTATACAATAAACTTTTCCTGTAGTAAGTACTAAGTTTAGGTTGCAGAAATCCTCCTCCCAATTAAAATTTTACATCAAAAGGTACTGTATTCTTTGCAGAATCGTAAGAATCTGTACCACTTTTTAGACAAAAGATGTCTAAACAGAATACCCCAGTTTCACTCTCCAGTTTTTCCAGTGCAAAAAAAGAATGGGTCTTAGAGAAGAGCAGGTGCTTACTTAAGTTTAACCAGGTGTGGTGATTCCAGCAGCAGATGCTTTTCCAGGTGCAGTCTCGCTGCTGGAGTAAATCATCACAGCCCCGGGCATATGGTATGCAACTGTTAGCCTAGTGAATATATTTCTTCCATCAAATTTAAAGAAATCATCATACCTTAAAGGAATCTGCCACAGCGTTTACGACAAATTTGCCTGAAAAACATGTTCAGCACTCACTTGAATTATGAATTAAGAAAAGCATCTATCAAAAGGTATTATCTTAGTATACCTGTAACATTAGATACAGCTATGATTTATTTGACTCTCCAATACTAATATCTCCCCATAGTACAACTAATTTGAATCCTTTAGCATTTAACATGTTTAACATGCTTTTTGCTACTTTTAGTTAAATTGATTTTTTTGGATGTTAATTGCCCGAGGCCCCTCTGGATAAAATTACCTATTGTCATTCAAATTGCTGTATCTTACAAGTCTTTGTCTTAATATTTATTTATCTATTTTTTTAATGAGACAGAATTGTGACAAGCATTTGTTTCATGCCTTTAATTAGATTCAATACAAAAGTAGGAACAGCTGACTCAGATTTTATCTTGAGTTTGATTTATGCTTTCATGAAATCATAGTGTGCTAGATAAAAACTGGTGTCCCAACTCAACAAGAATTACAGTGGTATTTTGTCTTTTCAAGTGGCATCATTTAACCAAGAAAAAGGAAGGCAGTCTTCCAAAGCCAAGTAGCTGCCAGTAACCCCAAGTGCACTTATGAGGGGTAGCTTCCTGCTAAGTATTTGCTGATAAACTTGGAATTGATACACAGCATACATCAATTCAAATTTAGCTGCTTCAAAGAGAAGAACATTTTTAAATAATACTTTTTTTAAAGATTTATTTATTTATGCATACAAGAGCTGGGGTACAGGCCAGGGATGCGGCGGGTGAGAGGATCCACCAGAGACAGAGTGGGGAACAGAACAGGCAGACTGACTGAAATACACTGCTGAGGGGAGCAGTGGGCGAGACAGGAGAGGTCTGCCTCGCCAAGTGCGTTTCTCCCTGGCCGGCCAGGGATCAAACTTGTGCTGCAGAGGCTGCAGATTGCTTCATAGTGCAGTGCTTAACCCCTTGCGCCACCAGGGAGGCCCGAAATAATACTATTGAGAAAGGAAGAGAGATCAGAGAAGATGATGACTGGGGTGGGGGGGTGGCGGCGGGGGGCAGCATAAGAAAATAAAAGGAGAGAAATTCTGGAAGATGAGTGGGACCGATTGTTTTTTTTTTTTCCTCTATTAAGTCACTCCTAGATTTTTTCATTTCACCATTCTGTTGTACCAATACAACCACAGTCTTTAGACAACATCAGAATTAGTAGTTAGCAATGTAACAAGAAACTCTAAAAATTTAATTTTTCCAAACTTTGTGTTTGCATGAAGTAGAAAGCTATTAATAGCAAATACTGATTGTTCCATGAAATTTTCAAAATTCATTAAATGCCAGCAATGTTCTAGGTCAGGGGTGGCAAACACTTAGCAAATAAACAGTCATTCATTTCACCATGTCTTTGGATGTTATTATTAGATCATGATATGCTTCACTGAACCCAGATGAGGTCTCAAATATCCCTTTTTAATGAAAATAGTACATTGTGTAGACTACACCTGGGCATAGGCATCAAACAATAAATGCTTAAATGATCTTTCTTTTCTAGATAAAATATTGAATGCAGAATGGAGGTATCTTTGTTTTGTCTATACAGTTGTCCTCCTACCACCTGTAATAAGTTTGTCATTAATTCATAGTAGAAATAACAAGAAAGGGAAGAGAATTTTTCAAAAGGCTCATTTGAACACTCACGATGTTAATTTCTGCTCTTTAGAAATCAAGTTAATTTATAGTAAATACTACCATTTTTACCACAGTATTCAACTCCTACATGCAGAAAACTAGCCATTTTTATTTCTCACCTCCCATTCATTAAAAATAAAAAAGGTTTTAGATGCTTTGAATTTTCTATAACAGTCACAAAGAGCTAGGGCATTTCAAATCATAATTCTATATTTGTTTATGAAGTCTTTCCAGAGTTTCCTTCCACTGTGGAAGGTGACCTCTGCCATGGTATCTGTTGTTTCTGGCATTTCTTAAAGGACTGAGATCTCTAACATTGCAAAGTATTCTAATCATTATGTATTAAATGAAATCCAGACTTTGGATAACTTGAAGTTCCAGACACTGAAAACACTGAGGTGAGATGAGAAACAACAATCCAGTTTTTCTCCTTCCAGGCTAGTCCAGTAAATGGAAATCTTATGCAAAAATAGAAACCATGAGTTTGTTGAACACTTGTGCACATGCACATTATACATATAAACCTGCTTGACTTACTAAAGGAAACTAATCTTTCTGATTTTGTGTTGACCAGGGAACATGTTTAATGAATTACAGACCATCAGAAGATACTGTAATTAAATCTGATAGAAACCTGATAACTGCTTTCCAAAGGCACAAGTTTCAGAAATATAAAAATACATTTTAAAGTCCCAATATTTCTACTGTGCTAAGCTGGTATTCTGTGAGCAGATTTTTTCATATACACAGAAGGTCTTACAGTACATACATAATCATGTCTGGAATGCTTTTTACTCATAGAAAAAGCATATTTTAAACATTATAACTATTAAACATTATAACTATTATATTAAAAAAACTTGACATCACTTTACCAACCTTATTCTGAAAGCCAGGTGCTTAATATACAATTTAATTCTTTCCATCAGCTGTTAATTCAAAGGCAAGTGAACGTTATTTGTACATCTTTGAGAATACTTAATCTGTAACTCAATTTGTTTCTTTGTTATGTATAGATTTTTATATACTTGAAATTTTGCAATTGTGAGCTACCCTGAAGAACATAAAAACAGTATTAATGTAAACACTGATAGCACAATATAGTGAAAAACAAACCCTATTTCTCAGTTTTAATTCTTTTAGTTTAAATGTCAGCAATATTTGTTGATTCATTTGTAGTAACGCCGAAGTATTTTCTTTTTCCCACAAAATAATAAAAATACAGGATCAATACTGTAATATAGAATTAACTCTGAAAGATAATAACACTAATTGACACACTTAATATGATAAATCTCTCCTGTAACCCATGGTCTGCTGGATTACTCAGAGCTTTGAATCCTTTGGCCAGTTTTGATTTCTTCACAAGAAGTACTACAATAACAGCACTACACATACTTAGTTTTTGTTTTTTCTGTATCCACTTTTCCTTCCTTTTCCTAATCTCCCAACCACCGAAATATTTAAACATTATTTCATTTAATCTTTTCAATCATCCTATGTTTGAGACAAAGTACAGAGTCTATTTAATTATCTTGAATCCTGCGAAGTAGCAGACACTGAACTAAAACCCTTTCTACTTCTCCAAGAAAGGGGTTGTTTTGAAGCAATGCCAGTAACTGGTGTATAAGGTGTATAATTGGGTTTATTGACTTCACCATGAGGTCAAATTGCAATCAAAGTCATATTTAAGATTGTTTATGTTTCAAAAGTTCATTAGCCAGGCCACTGGTTTAAAAATTAGAAAATAAAACTCTGCCTACCATGCCAAAAATAAATACCAAGTAGGTCAGTTTATTAAACTTACTATGTAATGGAAGAAGGGTTAGCAATGTCTTTTTGGCCATCCAGTGGCATTGTTCCATTGTCCCATTGTCCTAAATGGTAGACTTGTGTGTTTTACCCACTGCTTTTCTTCATGGAAAAGTGCCTTTTGAATTTTTCTTGTTTTGTTTTCCTTGCTTAATTTTAGGCCGTGAATAAATATGTTCATGTCACTGAATAACAAGTAAATACATCAATATGAAGTAATTTTTACAAATATTTGAGCATGAAAATGTGATGGAAACCCCTAGTCTTTATATTTTATTATAACCAAGGTTAACTTTGTGTATTACTTTATTTCTCCCACTCTGTTTCTGGAACTTGAAATCTTTCTTAGTCACTGCTGCACATTATGAACACTGCTCTTTGTCTGCACTCCCACAATGCATTCTTGCTTTCTCTCCTCCTTCCCAAAACACTCACAAAACAACTGCTTCCTTGTAGTATATGTGTTGCTTCAAATCCAAATTTAGTAGAATTGTATAAATGCCCACAAAGCATGGGAGGGCTGGCAATCCAAAGTTGATGACCTGTTCTTCATTTCATATAAGGCTTTTAGGACCTAATGCAAGAAATTATTTTTCTTTCTGAGAAGTGTAAGAAATGTGAAAATCAATCGTTCTGAAGTCAGACAAAAAGATTAGACATCTACTCCCTCATATTGTAGCTGAGTGACTTTATTCTTTATCTTCATTTCTAAAGTTGAGAAAATAATATTTCCTAGGATGGTAGTAATGAACACGTGCAATGTTTCAAGGCATGTAAATATTGTGTGTGCTAATAAATGACAACTCCATTTCACTTTTCTACTCCTGTGCCTGATTAGTTTTTAAATCTATCTTCCTAACTGTTTACATATAATTATATATAATGATTTGCAGTAACAAAATAAGTCAGGAACCAAATGTAAAATATTTCATAGAAAATTTTGTATATGTATGTTTAAATAATATGTATATTGATAATGTAATGTATATACAGGGGTAAAGAGAGTTGGAGGAATTTTTTTATTGAAAAGTCAGATATCAAGTAACTTCTTAGGAAAATAAAATACCTTAAAACATGCCCTAGAATCCTAGAGACTCAGGAGAGGCCCAACTTTCTTGTGTGTGTGTGTGTGTGTGTGTGTGTGTTTTTTCCACATCTATCTACATTCCTTTGTTGAGGTAGTCTTTCTTTAGAAATGTCAAAAAAAAATTATCTCTTCACCTTTTTCTTCCCAACTCCAAAATTTTTGCCTCCCCCTTCATTTTTTTTTTCTTGTTTCTTGATGCCAACACTCCAGGACAACATATAGCCTCAAACCCCCAATACTTACCAGACTACTAATGAATTTTGAAATTCTTGGGAAATGTGGATTTCCCAAGAATGAAATTATCAGATTCCTTCTGTTGACTACTATGTGGGCAAAAGTCACATTTAAGTCTGTGATATTTTTCAAGAAAATAAATTTCACTGGTTGCAACAAAAATAACATGCCAAGCTTGCAAAGCGTCATGGGAACGCTCTCTGACCAAAATTTTA